CCACCCTCTCTCGTGCACCCCGTACCCCGCTACACCCGTCTCGATACTTTTCGTTGCGACACTCGAACCTTAGCCTAAACAGTCACCCGTCATTCACACTATTCACTCGTCCCACTCATGCGACCACTCCGTTCACGCACACACCCCACAGATGCATCTACAGTAACACCTAATTTAGCACCAGGTACTGGATGCGCAAGGAGGGTTGCTTCAGCAAGGGCTTCTTTTACCTGGGTGAAAGCGAGTTCGGCTTCTTTCGACCAGACAATGCAAGGATTACCGCGAGCAAGTGCACCCTTTAATAAATCGGTTAGTGGAACTTGCAACTTGGCAGCATTTCGAACAAAACGACGATAAAAGTTGAACATTCCCAAAAAACGTTTGAGTTCTTTTAGATCTTTTGGCTTTGGAAATTTCTTAATAACGTCGACTTTCTCTGAATTTGGAGCAGTACCTTTAGAATTAACGGTATAACCTAAAAAGTCTATTGAATTTTTTCCGAACCTACATTTAGCTGGATTGATTACTATACCATACTTTTGTAATCTACTGAAAAGTTCTCGAATATGTTTCAAATGTTCTTCTTCATTACGTGAGGCTATTAAAATATCATCCAAATATGCATAACAAAAATCTAATCCAAATAAAACTTCATTAATAAACCTTTGGAATGTTTGAGCCGCATTCATCAAACTAAATGGAATTTTTACGTACTCAAACAGACCAAAGGGTGTGGTTACTGCTGTTTTTTCTATATCGGTTGGTTCTATAGGAATTTGGTGATACGCTTTAACAAGGTCAACTTTTGAAAAAACGGTTTTGCCATGTAACATGTTGTTCCGTCCGATGCGGAACAAAACGACCAAAATCCTCGAAGGTTCGTTTATGATATGGACGTGCCAACAAATTTATTTTCGGGGTTAGCTTTTTTCGAACTCAGTTTATTTATTTTAGTTACAAGGGGGCAATTTCACCCTAAACCATGATAAAATCACTGAGTTAATCCGCGCATGTCCAGACAACAGTTTGGACTTTTTACTTCGTTCGTACAGACAACCGACCATATCATAAACCGGGAATTTCCGAAGGATCGACTCGAACCTCGTTCATAACGGTTCCGCCAGACATGAGTCAACTCGGAGGAAATTTCCAAGGCATCGGCAAATCTTCGAGGATCCCTCGCACGTGGCCATTGCCCTCACCCTTGCACCAAGACGGCTGGCCAAGGGACGTCGTCCAAGACGCCCCCGATTTTTGGAATTATGCGCTGATTGGGTATTTTCGACTTTCCAATCAGCGTACTCGATACAAAACCTGTAGGTGTTGTATAAAAACACTTATAGCATCGCACTCGAATCAGTTACGCAGTTAACATCAATTAGAATAGTTAAGAATCACTCAACCGTTCGGAGTGACGATATTCTCAGATACTCAACCGTTCGGAGTAACGAGATATCATTCATTCATTCACACATTCAGTTAAGTCCATCGTTCGCGACAACTACACTCCAGCTTCACACTCCGAAGAAGTATCCAATTCGAAATTCGAGAATTCGTTCGTCTCAAACCGCGCAACATCAAAACGGGTTCTCAGTATCGTGAGAAACCGGTGGTCGGATCTCAATCATTCGGAGATCAGAATCGAATCAGTCGATTTCTGAAGAAATTTGGAGATCGAAGCGTCGCGAGTATTAACGAGACCTAAAGTTAAAGCTGGGATTTACAACCCCAGCCGAGGAATTAAATCCGCGTTAATAATCGTGTACGGGCGTGCAACTATCGAGGTTGCCACGCTGCGACGTCACATTTTTGGTCCTTCGAGC